TGCCATTTCCTTCTCCAGCTCATTTTACAGATGAGGAAACTGAGGCAAACAGGGTTGAGTGATTTGCCCAGGGTCACACAGCAAATAAGGTCTGAGCCTGGAACACAGTAAGCACTTAATAAACACACATTTCCCTCCTTCCTTCGGCGCCCTTCTATGTCGACAGTAGTAGAGCGGAGAGCAGTTTTCAGTCTATCTATAAACTTTGACACTCTAAAAAGGAAATCCTTGTCCAATGACCAAAAATGAAACCCAACTGCCATCTCATCTAACAGTCAAAATCTACTCTCTCACTGAATGGCCTCCCCAGTCTCACACCCCAAAAAGGAATTCTGTGATTCCGATTTGGTTAGGCTGACATCACAACCTGGCATCAATAAGGCCTGCATCATTGACAAGAGAGCCTATACTAGGTTAATAAGAAGATTCAGGAACTTCTGCAGAAATGCAAGTTCTTGTGAAGCCCCAGCCTGGTACCACTACTGGTCCACTTTGCCACAAGGATGTTCACCTTCCCCCCACCCTCCCCACTCCACCACCACTACCCTGCCTTGGATTTTTGAAGAAAACATGAAGCAATCACAAAAATAAAAAACCAGGAACACAGTGTCATCACTCATTAGTACTCTCAATCATTTAGGTTACAAAACTTCGCAGGAGAAATTTGAAAAAAAAAAGTCAAGGAGATATTCGGCGCTGTGACTGACGCATGGGCAGCCTGCTAACCCAAAGGCCTTGGCTTGCCCTTGAGTCTTTCCCCATCACCAAGGTCTCATCAGTTTCCAAGGGTACCCCATTGCCATGGGGGAGGGAAAATGGTCAAATCGTACACAGAGCAATGGAAAGGAATGTCAAGGTCTAAACAAGGCAAAACCTTCATTTTGCAGTTGAGGAAACAGAGTCCTAAAAAGGTTATGTGATTGACCCAAGGTCACAGAACTGGAATCCAGGCCTTCAGAATACAAGCTGAACACCACTCAGTGGGCTCTTTCAGAGGGCTTCATAAAAATCACATGCAAGTTGTACATAGTAGATTAGCAGTTTCACGTGCAATGCTTGTTTTATTCCATAAACCAAAAATAAAATATTTTTTAAAAAATAAAATAAAATAAAACAAAAATTAAAAATGAACAAAAAATAAGACACACACGCTTCAAAGAAGTCAAGGAGAGAAAGGTAAAAATATTCATAGCAATACTCTGTGGTAGGAAATAAATGGAAATAAAGCTGGTGACCACTGACTGGGAAATGACTTTAAAAACTACAGACTATTGGGGCAGCTAGGTGGCACAGTGGATAGAGCACCTGCCCTGGAGTCAGGTAGGACCTGAGTTCAAATCTGGCCTCAGACACATAACACTCACTAACTGTGTGACTCTGGCCAAGTCATTTAATCCCAATTGTCTCACATTAAAAAAAAGAAAGTAAAAAGACTACAGAATATAAATAGAATAGAAATCAAAGAAAAGGAAGCTAGAGACTTGCATGAACTAATGCAGTCTACATATTTGTCTGAAGATTGTATCTTCCATTAGACCGTAAGCTCCATAAGGAACTCTTTTGCCTCTTTTTGTATCCCAGGGCTTACCACAGGGCCTGGCACCTGTGTTTAGCCATTTTTCAGTCTATCGGATTCCTCAGGACCTCATTTGGCGTGAATCTTCCTGACTCCAGGTCTGGCCTCTATTCAGCGAATCACCTACCTGCCCCACCTGGCACATAGTAGATGCTTAATAAAGTACTGAGTTTATATAATAATATTTAATAAATTTTACTGATTCAATAAATTATTGTGATTGACTGAAACTAAAAAAGAGCAATATACACAATGACTGAAGCCATGTAAATAAAGTCACTAAAAGCGAACTGAACTCTGAGTAACTGAAAAACTAACAATGGCCCCAAAGACAATAACCATCCTTCCCTCCTCAAAGCAGAAAGGGGGGGGCGGGGTTTGACTACTGGAACAGAATGCCATATACAGGTTCAGATGGGGCCACTTTCTCAGGTGTTTTTTGCTTATTTGTTTTTCTATAAGAGAGTCCCTTCAGGAGAGGGATATAGATTGCACATTGTTTTTTTTAAAGGTATCAATAAAACATATTTCTTTATTAAGTCATAACTAAGATGCCTACTATACCACCAAACTGAGTCAGCCAGAGGGGAAAAACTCCAGGCTCAGTTATATTTAATAAATACCTGTTGTATACAGGTATACAAAAATGTTTTCTCTCTGCTATGACGTCTGTGGTAACTGCTGAATGGTTGATCAAGTTTATATTTGTAGTGTGATTAGGGGCAAAGAGGAGGAAAGGCGTGGGGTCTTATGGTATAAAATCATCTATTTAAAGTTGACAGGCTGTTAGACATTACAGTAGAGGGCCAGGCCTGGAGTCAGGAAGACTCATCTACCTAAATCTAAATCTGACCTTAGAGACTTAATAGCTGTGTCACCCTGGGCCAGTCACTTCACCTTGTTTGTCTCAGTTTCCTCATCTGTAAAATGATCTGGAGAAGGAAATGACAAAACCACTCAGGTACCTTTGCTAAGAAAACCCCAAATGTGGTCAAAAGAATCAGATATAACTACTGAAACAACTGAACACCAACATTTAAAGTTGAAAGGAACCAATCATCTAACTCCCAACTCCCCCTCATTTTACCAGATGACGAAGGTGAGGTAAAGCAACTTATCTGGTATTATGGATAACAGAAGACTTGGATTCAAATCTTCCCTGTTTGACCCTGGACAAAATCATTCTCTATGCCTCGGTTTTGTAATTAAGACATTCTGCAAATCATTGTAATAAATTATTATTGTCATTATCCAGTCACAAAGCATGGGGCAGATTCTTTGCAGGCTGGGAAGTTTATTATGTTTGGTTGGTTTTTTTTTTAAAGCTTTATACTTAGTGACCCAACCTGTGACTTCAACTTCTACAATTCAAAATCTTAGAATTGCCTGGAGCACTGGGAAGGTAAGAGACAGGAGATCTACTGGACCACACTCCCTTCTAGGATGTACTGGCCAATGCTTAATTCTTGGTCTCCCAAACTCTCTCCTCTGAGTTTCTCTAAAGGGCAGCAGAACTGATCCTGCACCATTATGCTCTGGACTAGCCATCAAGAGAGCTGGGTTCTGATCCTGGCTCTTGCTACCATGGGGCTGCCTGACCCTGGACAGAGTCACATCTCTGCACCAGGGATTTCTCTTCTCTACAATTCTGGTGTCAGAGACATCACCACCATGTCACTATTTGACATTCTGTGGTCGCCTACAGGAATGCTGCGGCATGCTGACAGATCCCACCTACCCATGTACCCAGGCTGTCAAACTCCCCCCGTCCACATACAGAGGGAGATCCACTTGCCGATTATCTCCCCAAGGTGATTTTCATCTCTGCATTTCAAAAAGCTCGGTATGGAGGACAGGCACAAAATGTTGACATCAGTGGGGTGATAAAGGCATCTCATTGGGGTTCCCTGGACTCCACAACCACGGAGAGAGAGAAGGTTTAGCTTGAAATCTTAACAGCAGCCTACCTGTCCTTCCCTTTCTTTGCTTTCTACCCAGTTTGAACAAGTCATTTCACAGGTGTGGAATAGGGGCCCCTTCCCCTCATCTTTGCCCCTTAGAATTCCGGTTTTCCCTCATAGCCCAGGTCAGGGGCCACTCCGAGGCCCCCTCTCAACCTCTCAGGTATGAAAGTTCTCCCTCCCTAAAATTACACTCTTTACTCATCTGCGTGTTTGCTTTGGGCTTTCTAGCCCCAGGACAGCGACTGAAAAATAAATGTTTGGATTCAGTTGTGGAACGGTTCAGGGACTGAGCAAGGAACTTTTTACAAAGGGATGGTTAGCTTACACCATCCAAGTGGCATTTACTTCACACTTGCTATGTGTTCAGGCCCTGTGTTGGGGACTCAGGAGTGTAAAGGATTCTTCTGGGTCCCAATTGAGCTGGTGGAAGCATGTCATAAAAAGGAGAGGAAAAAAAAAACGCCAGCCAACACACCAAAGCTCAAGCTAATTAATTAGATGCCAACTATGCAATATCTAGGCAAACAAAAGCAACAGGTTCTGAGGCCGACATGCAAGGAAGGCTTGCAGGAAAACTTTGGCCCCAGCCTTGGGATGCATCTGCCCCAGGAGCCTGAAGAAGCCGGCTACAAGCATCCTAGAATCAGCGGGACAATACCAATGGCACCTGTGGTCTCTACTTATTTCACTTCCCCAAAGAGGGCAAAGACCCACCCAGCTGGTTCCAAAGCCCCTTCCCTAGGGGATGCCTCAGCCTTACACAGTCTCATAACTTCGTCCTTTCATCTCTCTCCTTTTCTTTTTATCTGAGGCAGCCCCTCGTTCAGACGCCCCCAGGTCCTCACAGGTGAGCCAGGGAAATTGTCAGAGGACCCGGGTTCTGCTGTGTGTCCTACACACAGTCCCTTCGCCTCTCTGGGCCTCGATTTCCTCATCTGAAGAATGAGAGAGAGGAGGATGACCACTAAAGTCTCCTTCCAGCTGTAAATCTATGATGACCCTGATGATGTTTGCTTAATCACGCCAGACAATGAATGGGGCCCCAGCGCAGAGGGTTAAAGGAAAGGTGGGGCGGGGTAAGGGCGACCAGCGAGTTCACGCTCAGGAAGCCGGGTCTCGGGTTTTCGCTTTCCCTGAAGACCAGAGTTCGGGGTTCCTAGGCCAGGCACCCGGGTCCCGGGATACGAAAGCGCCTGAGAGATCACGTCTCTCTTCGCTCCAGTTCCAAAGCAACCGGAGCTCTCCCGGCCCCGGTCTGTCCGGTCCGGCCTCTGCGCCTCTCTGGGGCGCCGGGGTGCCAGGGCTCCAGGGCGCGCGGGCAAAAGGCTCACACCTGCCCGCTCAGTCGGCGCCAGGGCGGGCTCTCAAGCCTGCGCCTGTCTTTCGGTTGGTCTGCCGGCACCCCGGTGCCCGGCGCCCCGGGAGGAGAGAAGAAAGAGGAGCCCGGCCCACCTACCCACCTGAAGGATCTGATCTCTAATCAGCTGGGGCACCACGAAGATCATGACGCCGCCCAGGACCGTCAAGAGCAGCCCCACGAGCCCCACGATCACGGTGGTCTTGCGCCCTCCAAGCTTTCGGGCCATGGCACTGGGGGCCCCCGGGCTCGCCCAGGGCACAGCGCGCAACGGGGCGCTCGGCGGGGGAAGGTGGGCGCGGGAAACGGGACACGGATCCCACGGTGACGGGCGAGGAGGAGCGGCAGAGGGCCCCGGCCGTTTTATGTGCCATCGCCTGCCCCGAGGGACCGCCCCCTCGCCTGCTTTTACTTCGTAACTCTGGCGGCTCTAGATTCCCAGACTGGGCCAAGCGGGGCGGAGCCGGGCTGGGGGGCGGGCCTCCCGACTACCCAGCCCGCCCCCACGCACCCTCCGGGCGCCGGGGTACCCCGGCGAGCCTCCGAACGCTCCCCCGTTGACTGCGTAGGGGGAGCTTCGCCAAAGCTAGGGAACGGCTCGGGCCCCCCAGAGCTGGAGAGGTTGGGGGCGCCTGCCACCAGGCCTCCTGGAAGCCCAGGGCTCCTCCTTGTGGGCAGGAGGAGGGGGAGGAGGAGGAGGAATTATCTCCCACGTGGCCCTTTGCCCTTCGCAGTTGGCTAAGAGGATCGTAGGACCATTGATTGCGAGCTAGCAGGGACCCTGAGGCCATCTGGAGCTGAATAAATGTCTGTTGACGGAGTTTCAGTGCAAAAAGTGTCGGTCTGGAAATCAAGAAAACCTGGGTTCAAATCCTAGATCAGATACTTAATAACTAACAGGCTTTGAACAAAACACTCATGCCGTCTGGCCTCCTTTTCTCTTCTGTCCGCCAAGATCCTTCCAACTCTAATAAATGTATGACCCTAAATTCTCCTCATTTTATGGATGAGGGCTTTCAAGACTAGCCCTATAACTGTGACTGAGACAAGGGCCCTAGGGGGCCTGTGAAGTTAGGGGGTTGGCCCTCATGACCACTGAGATCCTCCTCACCTCCACATCTTCTTGTTCAGTCACGTCCTGACTCTCCGTGACCCAATTTGGGATTTTCTTGGCAGGGATGCTGGAGAGGTTTGCCATTTCCTTCTCTAACTCATTTTGCGGATGAGGAAACTGATGCAAACAGGGTGAAGGGACTTACCCAGGGTCACACAAATAATCGGTGTCTGGGGCTGAATTTGAACTCCGGTCTCACTTCAAGACCCCACACTGTGTCACCTCTAAATTTATGATCCTATTAATTCAGTTGGCTATCTGTTTAAACTAGCTACACATGAGGATTTCCTAGAGAGGCTGTATAGCTTTGTCCAGGTCACTTAACCTCTGTCTGCCTCAGTTTCCTCATTTGTAAAAGGAAGGGGCTGGATCCCATGACTTCTAAGGCCCCTGTCCAGGTATCTATCTATGACTCCAACTGCCTCATTTTACACTTGAGGGCTCCAGTGACCAGTTATGTAACTTTGGACATCAGTGCTAGTTGTAAGGTCCAAATGAGAAGATGTAAAATGCTGTAGAAATACCAGCAATGACGGTTGCCTCTGGTCACCTCCCAAAAACTCAGAGGAGGCAGTGGTCAGATTATTCCCCATATTTGCAGGAGAGAATTTGAGGAGCAGGAAGGAAAGTTATTTGCCCAAGGTCACAAGGTAAGGGGGAAGCTGAGGCCAGTGACCTGGTCTCCCCCTCTCTAAGTCCACTCTGGTTTATTCAGACTGACCCAGGGTTGATGAGCTTGGGGGGGGGAGGGGGAAGGTAGGTGTGTGCGGGTGTGTTTCACTTTGGTTTGTTTTTATTCAATAGGGAAAGGGGCCAAAAATTAGAAACTAGGCAGGTTTCTGCCACCCCCACCCATAATCTGAGGAAGTACATGCTGATTTCCTGCCCTGGGGGAAGAGGTGACAGGCCTTGGGGTTGAGATTACTAAAGGAGTCCGACAGCCAGAGCTAGCCTTGGGCAAATGAGGTGGCCCCCTAGTGGTGTAAACTGAGGTGGGGAAGGAGGTGTTGATTAGGGTGAGAGGTGCAGACTCCAGACTTGGCCTGGCCAGCTGGGCTAAGGGACAGCCACCTCACCTGCTCTGGAGCTCCCTGTCCTAACCCTCATCTGTCCAGCCCATTCCTTCAGCTTTAGCCTCAACACTGTGGCCTGGCTTGGGAAAGGATTTCAATCCCTCCAAAAGGAAGCCCACTGAAAGCCCCAAAAGGGATTGGGTTTTTAAGAGGCTGGCTTCTTGGGATGATGATTTTACACTTAGTAGAAGATAGAACTCCTGACAACTTGGTTCTCAAGGGTCCCTCATTAACATGTGTCTTGGAGGTGCTATCTCGACCTGTGCTGTGTTTCTTTTAAACTTCCCTTCCATCCTTGGCTAGTTCTTATTTCAATTTCCAATAAAGTTTCTCTGAGATCCAGGTATTGTTTTGTTTACCCAAGAGAGTGAAGCTGAAGGCCAGGTCCAAACTGTTGTGCAACTGTGTTTGTCCCTTAGAAGAGGAAAAAGGAAAAGAAAAAAAACCAAGGATTTTTGACACACAGGTCAGCCAATCTCCTCTGAAGGGAGTTGGGTTTTTGCATCCAGTATGACAATCTGATGAGAGAAAAAAATGCTTTTACATTTTAGGGGAAAGAGAAGAAAAAAACAAAAGGAAGAAGACAAGGAGAAAAAGAATGAAGAAAATTAGGAGGGAAAAGTAAGCATAGAGAAAGGAGACAGAATGGAGGAAATAATTAAGGAAAAATAAAAGGAAGCAAAGAAAGTGAATGAAATCATAAAAAATAGCTAATATTCATAGTGCATATTAAGATTTGCAAAGCATATATTATCTCATTTGAACTTTTTTTTTCTCCTTTTTTTGGTGAGGCAGTTGGGGTTAAGTGATTTGCCCAGGGTCACACAGCTAGTGAGTGTCAAATGTCTGAGGCCACATTTGAACTCAGGTCTTGTTGACTCCAAGGCTGGAGCTCTACTCACTGCACCACCTAGCTGCCCCTCTCCTTTGAACTTCTTTTGAACAACCCTGGGAGAGGGATGCTATCATCGTCCCAATTATAAGAATAATAGTTAACATTTATATAGCACCTAGTATGTGCCAGGATTGTGCTAAGTGCTTTATAATTATTATCTCACTGGATCCTCACAACAACCCTGGGAGGCAGATGTTATCATTGTCCCCAGTTTACAGATTAATAATCATAACTAACATTTATTAAGTACCATTGAATCCTCACAACAACCTGGGGGTGGGGATATAGGGGCTATTATTATCCCCATTTTATAAATGAGAAAACTCAGGAACAGGTAAAAATGCCTTGCCCAGGATCACATAGCTAGCTAGGGAGTGTCTGAGGTAGGATTTTAGATTCCAGGTCCAAGACTAGAAAAAGGAGAATATAATGGAGGCAAATAATAATAATTAGCACTTGTGAGGAAGCAACATAGTACCCTGGAAGGAGTACTCAATTTGGGGTCAAAGGTCTTGGATTCCTACACTATCTATAGTATATGACTGAGTAGCTCAACCTCTCTGGGACACTGTTTAAACTTATCAGGTTGGAATAGAACAGGGGTGGGGAACTTGAGGCCATATAAGGCCTTCTAGGTCCTTGGGTTCGACCTTTTGACTAAGTCCAAGTTTTACAGAACAAATCCTTTTATTAAGGGTTGTGATGGAAGTGTCTTATAAATCTTCAAACACTATAAATGTGAGTTATTATTGAGTGGTTCTGAACATGAGAGGGTCTTGGGGAAAAAGGCTCTAGAGGGGGCACACAGAAGGACCTGAGGAAGCTGGAGGTGGGGAGTCCTGTAAGAAGACTTATTATGTGTATTCAAAAGTAAATCTCAAGCAATAGTTATTATCACTTATGTGACCTTAGAGCAAAAGACAACCTCTTTGGGCCTCAATTTCCCCATCTGTAAAATGAAGACCTCTAAGGTCCCTTCCAGTTCCAATCTATCAGGACCCTAGGAAATTGTTCTATATCATAGTTGGACAATTAAAGAAAAAAAAGCATCCCCTTATGACACTGCGATACAGACCTGAACAAAGGTGGTAGCTGAGGAAGCAATGAGAAATAATGAACAGAGCCAGTGCATAACTAGATTTTAAGGATGAGAGAGTCATGGCATCATCAGCAGATAATTCATTCAAACACATTTCTTTGAAAACATCTCATAATTCAACAGGCAGCCACAGATGGCTGGCCTTAGTACCAGAAAGACCTATGCTCCAGTCATGCCTCTGACTTTGTGCCTCTGACCAGCTTTGTGAGAGGCGTCTCCCAGGTAATCCTCTAAAACTAAGTGTCAGCCAAGTTGCTGATGAAGGGGGTGGTATAAGCATTTATGTGCCTGGCACACAGTAGGAGCTATATAAATAATAATAATAAAGTGCTAAGCACTTTTACCCATTTTACTTCATTTGATCCTCACAACAATCCTGGGAGGTAGGTACTATTATTATCCCATTTTATGATTGGGGAAACTGAGGATAAGTGGCTTGCCCAGGGTCACGTAGCTAGCAAGTATTGAAGGGCAATTTGAACCTGGGTCTTCCTGACTGCAGGACTATTGCTCTTTCCACTGAGCTATCTAGTTACCTCTAGCATTGGCGGAAAGAGCTTCTAGAATTCAAAGATAAGATTATAGGTGCAGATAAAAATAATTCTATAATTTAAAAGGGTTAGGTAGGGTACTGCAAAAGAGTGAGATGTTTTGGGGGCTTTTGTGGGGGAAAAGGTTGGATTTTAAAATGCAGGATGAGCCTTCGGAAGCATCCTAGCAAGTGGCCTGCAGGCTTGCCTGTCCAAAGAAATAGCTGAAGAGTTTGGCTGATTTGACAGCCCCAAATGGCCCACAGCCTCTGACCATTGCCAGAGCCACTCTGCGGCCCTTAACAGCAGGCACCTAAATGTCTAACAACTGCTTTCTGATGGGGCTTTGGGATGCCCTGGTTCTCTGATTCTCATACCCTCCTTGCCGACTGTCACAGAGCTGCTTCCATGAAAAGCCCTCTGATGATCCCAAAGGGCGAATGTATTCATCCACCTTAGTGACCCATGGAGTGCTAAATTAGATTCCCCATAGTCTCAATCCTTCTTGGGTCTCAGGTGCTGAGTTCTGCCCAGGTCAGGCCTCTGCCTAATTTCTCTGTATAAAGTGACAAGCAGAGAACAATGCCCCCCCCCCCACACACCCCTTTCATCTACCTTCTCTAGCTTCCTTCAAACCTCAGCTTTGGTGCCCACCTAGAGACCTTTCCAGATGCTCAGAGCATCTAACACTCTCTGAAAGATTATTTTTGCATTTG